AAAAAAAAAGGGTGTTAGGATTTTATACTGAGCTTTTGCTGACTACTCATGAATGTTTTACTACTCCAAATATGTTTCAGCACATTTAGGCCACAGCCAAGGAGATATTTGTAGGATATATATATATATATATATATATATATATATATATATATACTTAGCTACCAAACTAAAACATGGTCTTTGTTACCTCTACTTCGCTTGTAAAGCCATGCTCTTCAGAGTGTTGCCTGTTTACTGTAAAATAACGCTATCAAGTGTCTATCGCGCGTGATATGTGCACGCGTGCATTTTGTAAGAAGTTTCGCCCTTACAATATGTGTTTGTTATGACTGTTGTATCATCAGTCAAACTTATTCAAACGATCCTGACGAAGCTGTTCAGTTCGCATCCGCGTTATATTTCGCTCGATATCCTACGGACTGTTGCGCTTCTAAATGAAAGAATTGAAACGGCGTTTTAATATATTTACTGCGCAAATAACTAACTCACCTTGGGTTTGTTCGGTTCCAGTAGACAGCGTAGCGATCCGCCACAACCTTAGACGCCGGTTCCAGGCCCAACACAGACATCCACAGGCTGATCAACACAAAATAAAACATCTCCACCTGCGGCATTTCTGAAAGTTTCAATCGTAGCCCCTTCGATACAGCGTTCCGGTGATGAAGAAGTTCGCGACCCGTCAGATTTTCCTTGAATATCCCACGCACGGAATTTGTTCTCTTAAAATTGTTTCTTTTACTGCACAAAAGATGAAGACAGATCTAAACGACCGCAGTGCAAGGAATGGCAAAGTCATTCAAAGAGTCACAGTTACCTACATGTACATAATTATTAGAGGAAACACTAAGAAGCCGGTTTAATGCGCTCGCTGACTGTCAATAGTCCAGGCTGATAAAGCGTTCATCTCTAGCACATCCTTTCTTGCGATTTACGAGGAAAGAAAACAATTAGACAAATTACAGGTCCTTTGAATGTTCACTTCTCATTCCAAAACCCGTCAGATCTTCAGCGCGGTTGGTCACTGTAGTTAGTTTGAGTGAATGAAAACAACAGCGTATGTCCACTTGCACCTCATTCTTCAACATGTGAATGAAGACCTGCGCTCTGTTCGTATGGTCAGACCTTGACGTTTATAAACTGAGTTTATGTAGACGCTGTCCTGAAGCGCTGTCTTCAGATTAGGATTAGGAAACCAAACTATCTTTCTGGACGAAATGCACAAAGGTTTTAGCGTATTCAAGATTCAATGGTAAAATATAGGCTAGTCCACAACAGTAACCTCCCAGGCAGCTGAGTTAGTCAGGGTGTATGAGCCATGCTGTCTCAGAAAGAGAGAGAGACGGTACAGTTTCTAGCGCTCGCTCTCTTTCTCATTGGTTTGCCTTCTGAATGATGGGCGTCTCGGTTACAAATAAAAAAATCCCGCCTCCAAAGGCCTTTTTTTTTTTTTTTTTTTTTACGGCGGGGTGGGCCTAATTAAAAAGGCCCACAATC